TTATCCTAATATCATATTAAAATTATGCACAGTTTACTTTTTACTAACAAGTATAAATATGTATTATCATTTTTTTTAAATAAATGAGAATTTAAACAATTTGCTGTTTTGGATATGACGCCTTCCTGTCGCCTTCTTTAAAGAGCTATATTTATTTTTATTTATTTTCTTCTTATTTTCTACAATACAAACAAGAAATATTCCCATATAAAATTTTTGACGCCTACATGCTGTGCGCTTTTCAGGTTACCGTGTATAGAAGTAGTTAGCTACATTCATTTTCACTCGAGTTTTTAAAATGGAAGTTTCGCATATTTTCGCTTCTTATTTCAGTTTCGGGGCAAGTTTTAAGGAGGTTTTCCTACGAAAATGCAAACGTTTAATAGGAAAAACTATATATATCACAAAGTTTTCTTAATACATTTATTTCCTGTCTGTATCAAACAAAACAGACGTGTCATTCTTGCCTTTAGACAAGGAAGTTCTTTAGATATGAAAAGTGGCTGTGTGGCAAAATTAAGTAGATTGTTTTGAGGTGTGTTTCTAATAGCGTTATTTCGTCAATGTGAGGTTTCCCCAAATATTTTACTGTCGACAGCTGTTCCACTGTTGTATCTACGCCGAGTCCCAAAAAACCGGACCTTTATTTCACTCCGGATATCATGTCTTTTTTCCCAAAAAGGTCAGGTCACATACCTCACTATCAAGGTATTGCATTACCTATTACGTAAGTGGTAAACGTGACAGACGCCGAAGGAGGGTCGACATTACTCCTCCTCCGCCTTGTACATCATATATTATCTACGCTGCTTCTACCTGAAATCTATGAGACTATAATGATACAATATTCATGACAATCAGAATGACTAGCACATTTTGATGATATTTCAATGGTAACAGATTTACATATAAAGTTTTCACTTCTTTCTTACAAAGCTGTTTTCGTAACATTGCATATTGGATTGTGTTTTTATATCATATAGTGGTACCTTCAAACTCTGAGATCGTGTTGACTGCTGTAGGTAATGCCCCCTATATCTTATAAAGGGACTCTCAGACTAGATCATGTTGACTGCTGTAGGTAATGTCACTCCTATATCTTATATAGGGACTCTCAGACTAGATCGTGTTGACTGCTGTAGGTAATGTCGCTCCTATATCTTATAAAGGGACTCTCAGACTAGATCGTGTTGACTGCTGAAGGTAATGCCCCCTATATCTTATAAAGGGACCCTCAGACTAGGTCGTGTTGACTGCTGTAGGTAATGCCCCCTATATCTTATAAAGTGATCCTCATACTAGATCGTGTTGACTGCTGCAGGTAATGCCCTCTATATCTTATAAAGGGACTCTCAGACTAGATCGTGTTGACTGCTGCAGGTAATGCCCCCTATATCTTATAAAGGGACTCTCAGACTAGATCGTGTTGACTGCTGTAGGTAATGCCCCCTATATCTTATAAAGGGGCCTTCAGACTAGACCGTGTTGACTGCTGCAGGTAATGCCCCCTTTGTCTTATAAAGGGACTCTCAGACTAGATCGTGTTGACTGCTGCAGGTAATGCCCCCTATATCTTATAAAGGGGCCTTCATAACCGTGTTGACTGCTGCAGGTAATGCCCCCTTTGTCTTATAAAGGGACTCTCAGACTAGATCGTGTTGACTGCTGCAGGTAATGCCCCCTATATCTTATAAAGGGACTCTCAGACTAAATCACGTTGACTGCTGCAGGTAATGCCCCCTATATCTTATAAAGGGACTCTCAGACTAGATCGTGTTGACTGCTGTAGGTAATGCCCCCTATATCTTATCAAGGGGCCTTCAGACTAGACCGTGTTGACTGCTGCAGGTAATGCCCCCTATATCTTATAAAGGGACTCTCAGACTAGATCGTGTTGACTGCTGCAGGTAATGCCCCCTATATCTTATATCTTATAAAGGGACTCTCAGACTAGATCGTGTTGACTGCTGTAGGTAATGCCCCCTATATCTTATAAAGGGGCCTTCAGACTAGATCATGTTGACTGCTGTAGGTAATGTCACTCCTATATCTTATATAGGGACTCTCAGACTAGATCGTGTTGACTGCTGTAGGTAATGTCGCTCCTATATCTTATAAAGGGACTCTCAGACTAGGTCGTGTTGACTGCTGTAGGTAATGCCCCCTATATCTTATAAAGGGACCCTCAGACTAGGTCGTGTTGACTGCTGTAGGTAATGCCCCCTATATCTTATAAAGTGATCCTCATACTAGATCGTGTTGACTGCTGCAGGTAATGCCCTCTATATCTTATAAAGGGACTCTCAGACTAGATCGTGTTGACTGCTGCAGGTAATGCCCCCTATATCTTATATAGGGACTCTCAGACTAGATCGTGTTGACTGCTGTAGGTAATGCCCCCTATATCTTATAAAGGGGCCTTCAGACTAGACCGTGTTGACTGCTGCAGGTAATGCCCCCTTTGTCTTATAAAGGGACTCTCAGACTAGATCGTGTTGACTGCTGCAGGTAATGCCCCCTATATCTTATAAAGGGACTCTCAGACTAAATCACGTTGACTGCTGCAGGTAATGCCCCCTATATCTTATAAAGGGACTCTCAGACTAGATCGTGTTGACTGCTGTAGGTAATGCCCCCTATAACTTATCAAGGGGCCTTCAGACTAGACCGTGTTGACTGCTGCAGGTAATGACCCTATATCTTATAAAGGGACTCTCAGACTAGATCGTGTTGACTGCTGCAGGTAATGCCCCCTATATCTTATAAAGGGACTCTCAGACTAGATCGTGTTGACTGCTGTAGGTAATGCCCCCTATATCTTATCAAGGGGCCTTCAGACTAGATCGTGTTGACTGCTGTAGGTAATGCCCCCTATATCTTATAAAGGGGCCTTCAGACTGGATCATGTTGACTGCTGCAGGTAATGCCCCCATTATCTTATAAAGGGACACTCAGACTAGATCGTGTTGACTGCTGCAGGTAATGCCCCCTATATCTTATAAAGGGACTCTCAGACTATATTGTGTTGACTGCTGTAGGTAATGCCCCCTATATCTTATCAAGGGGCCTTCAGACTAGACCGTGTTGACTGCTGCAGGTAATGCCCCCTATATCTTATAAAGGGACTCTCAGACTAGATCGTGTTGACTGCTGCAGGTAATGCCCCCTATATCTTATAAAGGGACTCTCAGACTAGATCGTGTTGACTGCTGTAGGTAATGCCCCCTATATCTTATAAAGGGGCCTTCAGACTGGATCATGTTGACTGCTGCAGGTAATGCCCCCTATATCTTATCAAGGGGCCTTCAAACTAGACCGTGTTGACTGCTGCAGGTAATGCCCCCTATATCTTATAAAGGGACTCTCAGACTAGATCGTGTTGACTGCTGCAGGTAATGCCCCCTTTATCTTATAAAGGGACACTCAGACTAGATCGTGTTGACTGCTGCAGGTAATGCCCCCTTTATCTTATAAAGGGACTCTCAGACTAGATCGTGTTGACTGCTGTAGGTAATGCCCCCTATATCTTATCAAGGGGCCTTCAGACTAGACCGTGTTGACTGCTGCAGGTAATGCCCCCTATATCTTATAAAGGGACTCTCAGACTAGATCGTGTTGACTGCTGCAGGTAATGCCCCCTATATCTTATAAAGGGACTCTCAGACTAGATCGTGTTGACTGCTGTAGGTAATGCCCCCTATATCTTATAAAGGGGCCTTCAACTAGATCATGTTGACTGCTGCAGGTAATGCCCCCTTTATCTTATAAAGGGACACTCAGACTAGATCGTGTTGACTGTAAAATCTCTTATCCGAGGATTTCTTGAATTATGTTGTTTTCGATATATCGATAAAGCGAAGTAATCAAAGTGTCTTATGACACAAAGTTGCCCCTTAATTTCATATGGGCCGTGAAACCATACAGAACAAAAATTTGTCCCTTTTTTATATCTAATAATACCAGAACATGGTAGTGAATAAGGCCAAGGCAAATTGGTTAATCGCAAGGTTTTCTTTTTTATATGGATAATTGTAATTTTATTTTGAAATAGTGTCCCAGAAAACGAGGAAAAAGAAATTAAACAAATAATCAATGTTTCAAACATTGTGTCAGGTTAGCAACATAAACTAAGCAAAAGGGGGTGATATGATTTACAAAAACAAAATATCAGTTTGCCTTGGCCTGAAAAAAAAATGCATGCTACTGCCGCACTCTATCACTTTAAAAAGATGAAAGGATTCATTATCAAATTCAACATATTTATTTACAAAATAAATTCACTTTTAAAGGCAACATAGAAAATATGTATTTAAGTATGTAAAAAAATATACATGCGGTCTCTTTGGTGAGAAACCAGCTACCTTTGAAGAGCAATGAATGGTGGATGACGTTTTGTAAACAACAACAACAACGATATACGAACGCATGTACAAGTACATTCGTATTATATGACAAATTCAAACCCTAGCTGGAACTTCCGATTTGTGAACACAAATTATCTACTAATAAATATTCTGCGACGAGCGGTCAACACTGGCAATAATTGTCCGCAATTTAGTAACAGCAGATCTTATCACACAAGAACCGGACTCGGTTAGTAAGTCAATGGCTCTGTCCATCAGCTAGCAGTCCACGGCCGAGACAGTTTTCTCCATTTCAGTTTTTATTGGCTTATAATTCTGTTACACGGAAGACTATCAACAGTTTTTATGTAACAAACAGAACCTTTGGAGATGCCGATAACAGTGGTGTTCATTGTCAGTACGGAGTAAACTCCCTTCTGATGTGCTGTGTACGAGCACTGAATCGTTCCCTAGGTGGTAACAATACCTGGAATGTCTTCACAATGGCACAGTGTAACTTAACACTTCAAGGCTGGATGAATTACGTTATGCGCCAATCACAAAAGAACACAGCTGTAATGTACCGAGAAAAAAATACAAAAATAAAAGTCATCTTTTTAAAATGCATTGTGTACTTTAACAAATTCTCGGGTAAAACTAGGAAAGTAAATCTTTCAATGCATTGATATAACTTTGCGCCATTTGAAGTGTTTCATACTTTGACAATTTTTGATCGTCTCCAATGGAAGGCACCACATCACGTAGTTTGTCAAAGGCCACATTTAAACTTTCCATTCTCCTTCTTTCCCTAGCATTTGCAGCCAGTCGCCTTTTCCGTAACACTTCTCTTCCTGGAGTCAAGGAATTCCGTCTTCGAGAGGAGGACGTACTAATTTTTCTGGGTGTTTTACTTTGTTGTACATTGATAGAGGAGCTATGATGGAAACCACTTTCTCCCGGAAAAACAAAATGTTTGTGAACATTAGCGTACGGGCTCATGGGTGTATCCGGCGTTGCCCCCAGGGAACAGGGTGTAAGCTCGCTGTCACTGGCGATATAGGTTGATGGAGAACCAAGCTCGCTCCCATCAGCTCCAATATCTTCCCGCCCAATGTCCATAGTACCCAAGTTAACCGTTAGGGGCACATTATGCCGAGTATTGACAGTCTGGTTCTCACTGGTCACTGTGGTCAGCTGGGTGTATGACAGGGCTAACTGACCCTCGCATGACATCATCATGGTTAGTGGTACTGTATGACGTCTATGACGAAATCCTTGTATTTACCTCAGCGTCCACTGGGTCCTTTATGCAATATTATCTACTGCACTGCTTAGTAATCCCAGGTGAATTGGGAGATGATTGAAAATGTTAGAAATTCAACTGCACTGTATTATTCCACAGCAATGAAATATTCATGGTGATACTAAACCGTTCGCAAACCAGCTGGGACATATAAGGTGTGTATGGCTGTATAGAACTCAACCTCATCTTTTATAAACGGGCAGGTATGGAGTCCGTGACGACCACTCTCAGCCAATCAAATCCTTGAACGGGCGCGCGTTCGATTCACATTTAATTTTTTCACGCTTCGTTGAATTTATGATGAAGATTAGCTGATTTGGCCACGCCTCCGCGGGATAATGCGATTTCTCTTCATACATCACTTGGTGGTGAAAACTGACTATCCCTGGCGACTAGAATCGTCCAAGCGTTCACTCTGATTGGTTTACCTGGTTCGGCTCTTTCGCCTCCTCTTGTCACTATCCGCTAGGATGGAAGTGAACCAAACAGATGCGGTAGAACTTAAGTTTTTATCGTGGCTGATATTTTGATCATTTGATTTTCATTTGTTTGGAAAAAAATCACTTGTATTGTATGCCCATCTTCAAAAGAGATTGAACATGTAGTTAAGTTCATATTTTATTCAATAGACCGCTAATCTGTGCCACGCGCGAACTTAAATAGAATATAAAAACGTACAGCAAATCTAAAGACCCCATAACATACCAGTACAGTTCGAGCTTACTGGGATAAACATCAATAAGACTATTATGGTAACAAAACCGACAATGACCCTCTGTGCCTGGTGTGAAGGATACATAGCGTTATCAGTTGTCCTCTCACGAGGAGCGCCATTTCACGGAAGTTACGGTTCTTTGTGACCACGACTCTGTACACTCAAACCGTCTACACTCGCGTCTGCCGAACCTGAATTTTCGTTCATAGCTGAAAAATGCAAACAAATAAACAAAGGTGACTGTGACTTAAATACTATCAAATTACAAATGAAATGATACCGCGATCTATATTAAAGATATTCCTACAATTTTAAGTATCGTTGATTTCTACACCTAAATAAACTTGCGAATTCGTGTAAAGTCCTTTTAATTTGTACAGTAAATTCACGCAAATGTCTGAGTATTCATAACGCCATTCTTTCAATATGTAACTGGCCCCCTCCCCCCCCCCCCCCCCCCCCCCCCCCAAAAAAAAAAAAAATAAATAAATAAAAAAATACCATAATTTGTGTTCGTGTGAAAGATTACATAATAACACAATGAAACTAAGAGTAATAAAGTTATGACTGAATTAAATCCGTCTAAATTTTATATTCTTGTGATGAACATGTATTTTGTCAGGTACAGAGCAAACACACTGGGGAACATTTACAATGTATTATGACAAGTGTCACAACGAGTAATCTAACACTAGCAGTATAATATGGTATCAACAGATATATATATGTATTATATATGAATATTAGGAAATAATATACGTGACTTCTATAAAGAACTTCAATAAAAACAATCAAATGATTTCTGTAAAGAACTGCGAAAAAATCATACACGTGACCTCTTAAAGAACTATGAAAAAATCATTTACTTAAATTTCTGTAAATAACTGCGAAAAAAATATTCACATTATTTCGTAAAGAATTCCGATGTAATCACTTACTTGACCTCTGTAAAGAACCGAGAAAAAATCATTCACGTGACTTCTGTAAAGAACTCCGAAAAAACATTCACGTGACCTCTGTAAAGAACTTCAATAGAATCATTCACGTGACTTCTCTGAAGAACTATAATAAAAATATGCACGTGGCTTCTGTGAAGAACTTCGATAGAATCATTCACGTGACTTCTGTGAAGAACTACAATAAAATTATTCACGTGACCTCTGTAAAGAACTCCGACATCAGCAAGCTCTATATTACATATCTATATACATAGATATATAACAAACCATTCACATGCAGAATAATACATTGAAGTCATTTCTATTAACTCAGCAGAGTACATAATTAAGATAATTATCTGATATCTGTGTAATGCTACAATGTTTATTTAACCATTAAATTGTTTTTTAGATTATACCCTTAACCATCCTCATCAGTTCTGTACAGTTTTAAATTTCTATCAATTCGTACAACTACTGTAGAATATTTCCTTAGCAGACTATATGATATAATTCGTTTCCCGATATCTGGAAGTCCTGCATTAAGATCCTTTCACTTCTCTATGGAAAACTTCATATACATCATTTTCATGGCATCTGTAGAGAACTTGATTAATATCACCACTGCAGAAAACGTATTCGAAATTATTCACATGATCTTTGCAGAATATCTTATCATCATCAAATCATATCGAGTCTACACACCTTTTCAACTGTCTTCACTTTCCCTTACCTCTCGAAATGAATTAAAAAATAGTTACGCAACACTTTAAAATCTAAATGGGGATGCATGACAAATTTTTGTGACATTGCCAACAACTTTCACTGAAAAAGATTCTGCTTTCACATTCACTATATTGTACGATGTAGGTACTGTAATTACGTCGGAACCGTCAACAGCATCGCTATATCTTCTCTAGTGGGGATGAAACCTTAGGTATTTTAAACGTGTGCAAAGCACGAGTGATAAAGAAAAAAGTTTCCGTCCCACTCGCTGAAATATAATTGTTAAATATATTACATTTTTCAGAACTTTCATCGAAGTCAAATTAAATTTGCCTTTTGGTCTATATGTTTGATTAATTATCGTCAAGCCGCCTGATTAATATAGTAATTTCACAAAGTCAATGCAGTTTAGTGGGAATCACATCCTTATCAGTTTCGTTATAGGAAAAGATCGAGGTAAGCAGTTAATGTAAAGGAATCTGTTGGGTTCTTCAACGTTCAAACCAAATAAAAAACAGAAAAAAGTACTTAAAAAATGTCAACGAAATATTTTTTTATAATTTATACAAAGTTTGTCAAAAATTGAACGAGCGGAGAGTCAACATTTTATGAGTGTGTTACCAGTATATGTGATCAGATTCTTTGAAATTATAAGTAGATATAGATTACTTATGATACGAGGTTGATAATTTCAATTTCGACCAAATACGAAGATATGTATTCTTTTCCAAGGACTTGGCGATTTGCAGATCTGAACAAAGCAAATAATTGTCAAGGTAAGGAGTCACTGACATGAAATGTTGCTGATCTCAAATAAATATTTCGATGAATTTTGTTTCAAGATAAAAAGAAAAACAACAACAATTCAGCAAAGTTTTGATTTGAAATTTATTATTTTACACGTAGACCTGTTATAATACACGGAAAATAAGACCAGGGCCCGTATTCATGAAACCATTCTCATGTTCAAACATAGATTTTGTGCTCAAGCAAACTTTTTTATATAAACATTGATTATAACTTTGACTTAAAGTCCTTTCAATTTTTTTTAATATTTGGCAAAATCAGCCTTACCTATTAATTTTTACCTTAAACAAGACATAAGGCTTGAGCACAAAATTCATGCTTGAGCATGAGAACGGTTTCATGAATACGGGCCGAGGTGTTCTTGAAAGCTATAAGAGTGTTTCGCTTTATGACGAGACCTTCCAATCAAATTACGTAAGTAATGTGACGTTCTTAAATAAGAACCAGGTTTATAGCAACGAAACTACCAGATAAACTCAAGCACTTTGAAAACATAAAATATTGTACAAGGAAATTGAATATTTCAGTGAATGAAGTAGACTGAAAGATACTTGCAAGATAGTGTTAACCTGTGTAAAACGTCTGAATAACACTTGTAAGATAGTGTTAACCTGTGTAAAACGTCTGAATAACACTTGTAAGATAGTGTTAACCTGTGTAAAACGTCTGAATAACACTTGTTAGATAGTGTTAACCTGTGTAAAACGTCTGAATAACACTTGTTATATAGTGTTAACCTGTATAAAACGTCTGAATAACACTTGTAAGATAGTGTTAACCTGTGTAAAACGTCTGAATAACACTTGTAAGATAGTGTTAACCTGTATAAAACGTCTGAATAACACTTGTAAGATAGTGTTAACCTGTATAAAACGTCTGAATAACACTTGTTATATAGTGTTAACCTGTGTATAACGTCTGAATAACAATTGTAAGATAGTGTTAACCTGTGAAACGTCTGAATTCTCACTACCATTAAGTCAGAATTATTTTTTATTTATTCTGATATTGTTTGCTTGTGAACGGGATATTGAACACTCGTGGCATAATTTCTCTACTCTGTACACTATCACACTGACTGAAAGCCTGAATTCTGTTAACCTGTCCCAAACGCACTCGAATAACACCTGTTATATAGTGTTTTTAAAACATTGATTTTTGTTTTAGCATAGTGTTAACCTGTATAAAACGTCTGAATAACACTTGTAAGTTTATGTGCCGGTTACAAATCCGAGGTCCACGGTCATTAAAAATACACAAGGCAAGCAACTCCAGATTTTAAAAAATCGACCCTGTTAAAACTGGCTCAATAAAAGTATTATATAAGTTCCTTGTAAAACAATATGTATCCGTAGGTAGTGTGTATATTTACCTTTTATTTAGTGTTAACATTATAAAACGTCTGAATAACACAATACGTACATGTGTATAACATCTCAATAATCGGAGATTTTATCGTCCATGTAATTATCTTTGACGGAAGTAACATGCCATTTCAAGGGCGGTCATAACACTTTTTGGGAGAGGAGTTCCTGGATAGCACTATACCAGTGAACAGGTTATATAAAGTGTTAACCTGTGTCATTACGCGCGTGAATAAAATAGATATTTTTATTTCTACAAATACATTTGCGGGGATGGAAAAATAATGGCTGTGTAAAAAAAAAATGAAAAAAAATCATTTATATTTCCAATTTCTAAGTTAATATATTTCCCCTGTTACGATATTTTTCATAAATTGCGCCCTTTT